TGTAATTGCTGATCATGATAATTACAATGCAGCTTAGGATGACAAAAAGTAAAAAAATGCTTTTCAAATACCAACAACGCTATCGACGCAAAACAATTCTTAATAAAGGTGTCAATTCCTAGCATGTAATGGAATGTCGTGGAGTCAGACGCTGTTATAGATCAGTGCCATCGCTTGGCTTGAAACTGATAAGTGAACAATTGCAAAGGTCAAAAGGTTCTCGTTTTGAGACGTTTTTAATCAATGGCTTGGCGCTGAATGCGCTTAGGAGGATCAACATGCCAAACAGTCAAGCACGAAACGGTTTACAACTGATACAGCTATTAATTTGAACCATTCTACCAACTACTTTAGAAAGAGAGGAAAAACGACTGCCAGTTATTTTGTTACTCCCGCTGATTAACCTCTCTTTGGGCGGGTTACTCAATCTTTCCTTTCCAAAGAAGGTCTGTGCAGCAGGCTACACAGCGATCGGAATCATTTAGCTTTGTTTTCATTAATTATAACTCATCTGCCAGTTGTTCTATGAAATGGGTAATTCAGCCGGTGTGGTAAACAAAATATTAAGTTGGACAACTCAGCATCAGTAAGAAATAAGTATAATTTCATTTCGCAGAATTGTGATTCGTGATATGTTTAGCTTTCCAGATACTTTTAAACACAATTTCCCAGTACTTTTTTAATTGCTTATGACTTAGAACCAAAATCCAAATTGATTTTGAACCCAAGCGCTTGGTTTTGCAGTGAGGTCCGCCCTTACCAGTCGGTTATGCTCAGTTGAAGAATCAGCAGCATTTAGTTACACTTACCACATACTACTCGCAATTAAAATCAGGCGAAGTTTTCATGAGTTTTCTCAGTGATGGAAGTCATGCTAGTCAGCTGAGAAAAATAATTGATCTTTATACAATAGTTTCTTCTCTGGTCAAAGATGTTGGCTGCACTGTATTGAACTCGATGAGTAACAAAACATAATTAACTATTGATGATTGGTGATGAAGAGGAAACTGATTACTAACACAGTAACCAAGAAAACTATCTGCGAGTCTTATCTGCATGTCTGCAAAAAGCCCCGGCCTCTGAATGCATAATAAAAATGCCCCTACATCACATATTGATTACTGTTCATTGT